GCCAAGAGTTGGAGGCCAGCCTGGCCAATATGGTGAAACCCCGTCTCTACTAAAAATACAAAAATTAGCCAGATGTGGTAGCATATGCCTGTAATCCCAGCTACTCGGAAAGCTGAGGCAGGAGAATCTCTTGAACCTGGGAGGTGGAGGCTGCAGTGAGCTGAGATCATGCCACTGCACTCCAGCCTAGGCGACACAGCTAGGCTCCATCTCAAAAAAAAAAAAAAAAAGTTATCATGGATGAGTGCACAAAGCAGTAGAAACTACTTTTATTTGATTTGTACTTCCAACTCTCTGTGTATGACCTAAGCACCAAATCTTGTGACTTTATTTTTCAATCTGTCATCAAGTAAGTGTAACAATTCCTACTACATATCTCACAGGAAAGAAATCAGAGTCACTCAGTTAACAATAATACCCGTGGATAGAATGCATTCCTTGGAAGAACTATAAAGTCAGTGGTGTTGTTACTGGTTACTTCTCCTCCGCTCCATCATACAGCCTCTGAAGCTAAACTGGAGGTTAAAGTTAATTGAACATTCATTCATTCATTCAACACATATTTATGAGCACTGATAGGTGTTGAGCAGTATATTAGGCCTTCCAGATAACAACGGTCAGCAAGACAAGCACAGTTCCTCCTCCTCACAATGCATCTCAGAAAAAAGTACTGATCAAATTCACAGGAATTTCATTCAGTTTATATGGCAAGGGCTCACATCCATTTGTAAATAATTACTCATAATCGTAATTACTAATAATCCCTCCACTCAGCTCCTGAAAAGGGGGGACCACATGTACTACATGGAAAGCCACAGAACACATGAATGCTCCATAATATGAAGGCCCCACATAGGCCAAAAATATCACCCACTAAGCACCTTATAATCTATGAATGGGAAGGATGGTGTGAGGCCCTAGAAGATGACTGCAGACTTTTAAAGGCTGAATACCTTAGCCTAAATGTTGACCTGTCAAATCCTAGATTTAAACACAGACATATCCTCTGGAACTGTGCCATCCAATACAGTAGCCACTAGCAGCTATTTACATTTATCAATTAGAAATTCAATTCTGGCCAGGCACAGTGGCTCATGCCTGTAATCCCAGCACTCTGGGAGGCAGAGGTGGACAGACTGCTTGAGCCCAGGAGTTCGGAACCAGACTGGGCAACATGGTGAAACCCCATCTCCACTAAAAATACGAACATTAGCCAGATGCGGTGGCAGCCACCTGTAATCCCAGCTACTAGGGAGGCTGAGGTGAGAGGACTGCTTGAGCCTGGGAAGTAGAGGTTGCAGTGGGCCAAGATCGCACCACTGCACTCCAGCCTTGGTGACAGAATAACACCCTGTTTTTTTTTAAAAAAAAAAAAAAAGAAAAGAAAAGAAAATTCAGTTCATCAGTCACACTTAATGTGCTCAATAGCTGTAAGTGGCTAGTGACTACCATGCTGGATAAACACAGATTTTTATAAATCATGTCTATCTTCTCCAAAAGCTCTGTGGGACAGTGCTGCTCTAAAATACCTCTGTAATACTCAATCTGATAATTACAGCAATGAAATGCGATGAAGCACCTGTGCTCTGTTATGGCACATAAAAGCATGTCCACTGGTAATGTAGTACTAATTCTTCCTTTCCAAATAAGTTGAAAAGTAAAAACAACCTTGGGGGTATCTCTCCCAGCATACATTAGTAACCAAGGAAATTCACACCATCCAATCGGCCAATGAAGGATGAAATTCACAAACAAGTGAAAAACTGATATTTTGCCTCTTCCTATTTCTTTGTTAACGTGTTACCAGTATTGTGTCTTTCCGTGTAAGTTTCTTCTTGGGGCACTTTTAGCTGTGTTTTTAGGCTAGCAACTAGTAGACATAAGGAGGTGAGGACAGTTCAGAACGAAGATGAGTGATTCAGGAAAACACTGACACAGATAACGCTACTTAAAAGGAAGTAAATTTAATTGTGAACTAATGCAATAAACTTAAGTGCTCACTGTGTGCCCGTGATGTGCAGATAAACAAGTCACCATTCCCACCTTTGAAGAGCCCAGTTTAGTAGCCGTGTCCAATACGTAACAAACACAACGAAATATGCTGTGATATAAGGCAATAAAACAACCATATATACAATGCAGAGATGACGCAGGAAGGATATTTTTTAGATGGTTTATGAGGAGAAATCAAGGAACATTTCCTGAAGGAGCTATCCAAGAAGCAGAAGAGCAAACTAAGCAGAGCCGTCCACAGGAACCCTAAGTGGTTTGGCAATACAGGAGAAAAATGTGTTTGGTGGTAAGGAAGATGTGGGTGGACAATGGGAGGAGGGAGACAGGGCTAGAGAGCTATTTCCACACCAGACCACAGATATTCATGTTCTGGTCAGGTTTGCCTGAGTGGGTCTATAAGCTTTCCTCACCAAAACTGCAAGTAATATGAAAATCAATCCCTAAAACATGATGAATAATATACCCATGCCTGCCATACAGATAATATTTGACAGCAATCTGTAAAAATATAAAGTTCTTTGTGACACGGTACCTCTTAATAATACATATTGGTCACAAATACACTGTAGCTAGGATCGTTTGTTTTCAGGGTGAGACTGTTTACTCTGAGTTTTCTCTAGAACTTCTGTACAGAAAATACCAATGAAATGGACTATTCCCATATCTAAATGTCCCACCAACAGTTTATCTGATCAGAAGACAAATGAAACAAATTAAGGGGAGAAAGGAGATGTAACCACCATTTCTGTAATCCAAACCAGTTTTTTTCTCTCTAAAATTCTAATGGCAGAATTTCTGCTACTCTGTACTGTACTGCATTTCTGGGTACATCCAGCTGTGACCACACCACAAGTGTATCGCATCCAGTAACCTAAACCACTCTTGTGGTTGCTCACGTAAATACTTGGAAAATATTTGCCTCTTTCGGGCTCTCGCATTCACTTTACACGTATGTTCGTCTCAAAAACAGAACAAGAAATTCCAGAGAACCAATTCACTTCAAATTACGGAGATCCCCTCTCTCTTCGGTCCACAGTAAACTTCTGTAAAAGGTCGTCTACAGTCCTTAAAGAATCATCAAGTAACTTTCCTTCCTTATACAAGCAAAGTTTTTCAGACAAAAATCTTAACAGTAGAAACATACCCACATAAGCAAGCTGGCCCTTAGACAAACATAACTACTATTATTCACACAAACACGGGGCCCTTAAGCAAAGGTACATTTTCCAGGAGACATACGACTGTTTAAAGTAGCGGTTCTAAACTCGACCTCTCTAGGTCCTGGATCAGGGCAGTCCTCCTTGATCAACTCTCAAACTCTGAGCTTCCACTCCCCTAACTGTAAAACAGAGCTAACAGTACTTCTACGAGTAGAACCATGTTTGGGTAGCCACAGTATCTGACACATGGAGACCCCACTGAGTGACAGATCAATACACGTTAGCTATTTCAGCTATTTTTCCTGTTTTGTCCCTAAATAGATATGCTTTCACAACTAGCTATCACATCAAGCTGGTTACTTCTATAAATTCTCACTCTGCACGAAAATCACTTAGGGGGAGGAGGGGATTAAAAATACACTGTCCAGGCCCTATAGGATGTGGGTTCAATTGATCTGGGATTGAGCTGGGTGTCAGAATTCTTTTTAAAGCTCTCCAATTGGTGTAACGGGCAGCCAGCCTTCAGAAGTACTCGGAAGTGCCTAAGACGTCCCCCGATATGCACACACCACCTGTAAGATCCGAGTTCTGAGCCGAGCAGCGAAGGCCGGCCCTCCCGCCTGGACGAGGCTCCCCGAGGTGCTGCGACTAAGAAACCGCCACTGCTCGCCGAGGAGCGCCAAGCGCACCAGCCAGCGCCGGGCCACCCGCGCGCCCGGGCTCCGTCGGGGGCCACACGCCCCCCTGCGCCCTCTTCGTGGCCCCCGCGGGCGCCAGCCCCTTCGGCCCGCGTCACCGCGCCCTAGCCTCCCGCGCCCCGGCCCCCTCCCGCCCACAGCACGTGACTCGACACGCGCCAGCTGCACGCGGGCTCCATCAAAACAAAAACAGAGGAGACAGCCGGGCGGCGGCGGGCGCGCGCGGGGGCGGTGGCGAGCGGGCGCGCCCC